TTGTTTTGAAAGAAATGTACTATCATCTGTGTTAACTTGTAGATAAAATAAAATTATCACACTTTTTACCAGTATTACCTTTAATTATACTGGTTCTTATTGCACTATCATTCACTTAGAACAATTGTAATCAGCAGCAGCCATGACAGTATATCCCAACTATCCAACTCACCTCCTCAGTGTACATCAAACTCTCATGCCCACTAACTATAATAGCTATTCATATGAGCACTGTGGAATTAAAAAACAAAACAAAAATCATAATTCTCATAGAACTTATTTTTTTTACAGAAAAACAAGGTATTAAATTTTGAGAGTAGCCTGAAATAACAGGAAAGTCAGAAATGTGATGAGAAACATTTAATAGTGAAAAGAAACCAATATAAAACATGGATTTTATTCAGACTGTTTCTTTAGTTAGATGTGAGAATTGGGGAAAATATTTAAATTTTGAAAACCCCAACTCCTTACCTGTAAAACAAAGGTTTTGAACTTGATCATCTCCAAAGTCTCTCTTAGCAATAAAATTCTAGGGTTCCAAGAGCAATTAGGCCAGAAAAAGAAATAAAAGAGATATCCAAGCTGGAAAGAAAGAAGTAAACTTATCTCTGTTTACAGATGATTTGATCTTATATGTAGAAAACCATAAGAATTCTGGAAAAAAAAAACTTAAAAACTTATACATGAATTCAGCAAAGTACAAGAAAATAAAATCAACACACAAAAATCACTTGTATTTCTACGTACTACCAATGAACAAATTGAAAGGGAAATTAAGAAAAAAATTCCATTTACAATAGCAACAAAAAGAATACAATACTTAGGAATTAGCTTAACCAAGCAGATGAAAGCATTTTACAATGAAAGGTACAATGAAAGATACAATGAAAGAAATGAAATAAGTCACAAATAAATAGAAACACATTCATATTCATGGATTGGAAGACTTAATATTGTTAAGATGTCAATACTACTTTAAAACAAGTGAAATAAGCCAGTCATAAAAAGACAAGTAATGATCCTGCTTATATGAGGTATCTAGAGTAGTAAAAATCACATATATAAAAAATAGAATGGTAACTGCCAGGGACTGGGGGTGGGATGGGAATGGGTTGTTGAATGTGTATAGATTTTCTGTTTTACCAGATGAAAGGAATTATGAAGCTGGAGGATGATGATTGTAGGCACAACATTATGAATGCATATAATTAAAATGATTGAGGATGAAGTTTATGTTATATGTATTTTAACCATACTGGAAAAACTGGAAAAATAATTCTATGCTCCTATAAAAATAAAATGTTGTGGAAAAAACCCTAAAAATATATAAAATGAATAAGTAACAGAGATGGGTATATGTGTCTATGTCTTTAGCATTCATCCTTCCTATTTCTTTTCCCCCTGTCTTCCTGACTTCTAGGATTCACTGCTCAGTATGAGCCGATAGGGGCTCTCCAAGCTTGGTTTTCTTGCTAAAACCTGGTTCTTTCATTTAAAAAATAAAGAGAGAGGGGGGGGGGAATGAGAATATATATATGAAAAGAGACCAATACATATATACCTACACACACACACACACACACACACACACATAACTAGGGATTAAACTGAATGTAGGATCTACATTCCTAGTTCTTTTTAAAATTTTTCTGTTTTGATTTTGTGATAGGGCCTTGCTAAATTGCTGAGTTTGGCCTCAAATTTGTGATCCTGTCTCAGCCTCCTGAATCCCTAGGATTATAAGTGTGTACCACCATGCCTGTCTTCTTCATTCAAATAGTTTATGAAATCCTATATATTCTATTCTTGAAGAATACACAAACCACTAACTGCAGATCTAACCTACCTAAATCTGCTGCCTAAACTTAAAACCACATCTTTTTCTCTCTATATATAACTAAAATACTTTGCCCCAAATATGATATAAATTTACTCAAGTTAATAAAAGATGTTTTAGTTTATTATAAAATGTTTGTCAAGAAATTTGTCAGAAAAACAAAACATTGAGAGAAAACAAAACAGGAAACAAATTTCCATAAATAGATGTATTCATTAAAAAGTTTTAAAAATATTACATAATAGTCCAATGAAAAATCAACATGAGTTACATGTAACTTTTTTACACTTCAGTACTAATGATTTTGATGCATTATTGTGACTAGAAGAGCCTCTGTTTCCAAATCTGCATATAGATGTAGAAAACATTATATACTTTTATATGAGTGGTTGTTTATAAAGTCATAAATTTGAAAATATTCAAAAGCATTGTGAGCAAAGAAAAGAGGAATGTTTTGGTAATTCAATGTTATATATATAGTGTGAAATAAAGAACATATTTTTAATCTAGCAAAAACATAGTAAAAACACAAAACTGATCCTCACTAAACTGATCATATGTTAAAAAATTATGATGAACATTTTGGATTACCTGGAAGTTATTACTGTAAAATATTTTTTTGGATGGAAACATTTAAACTGTACTATTTTCTCAAGATTCTGTTTAAAATGGTGCAGGCATCTAAAGGACCCAACATTGTATCTGTAAAGTGACTTCAACCTACTATAAATAAATTATGTTAACCTGATAGAGAGCAAAGATTTAAAAGCCAAATTTATAATCTGCAAATTGCCATATTCAAATTGGTGGTAAGCACATGAGGTTTGAGAGATAAAAAGTAATATTTTACTAACAGATAAGAATTTACAATATCCTTCAAACCTGGAGAAAGCATAATCAATCTGACATTGGGTCATAGCCAAAAGGTGGACATAATAAAGTCTGAAGCCTGTATCTTTCATTTCCAACAAACTTATATGATTTACTAACAAATTGTGCTTGGGATGCTATGTGCAGCCCCATAACACAGGAAGAGGGTGATACCTGCCACCTAAAGACACTTAAAACATCCAAAATGCATTTTCTTTTTTTTTTTTTGGAAGGGGGGTTCTAGGGATTGAATACAGGGTCTCACTCATGCTGGCAAAGAGTTCTACCACTAAACTCTATTCACAGCTCTTTTCATTTTTTTAAACAGTCTCCCTAAATTGTAATCCTCCTGCCTCAGCCTCTGAATTAGCTAGCATTAAAGGCATGAGCCACTATACCTGGCTGAAATAAATTTCTAAGACAAACCTCTCCCAATACAAAGGCTGACAGTGATCAACATTCTCTCTATATTTATTCCTAGCCCCTTCCTGATCCCTTACAACCGTAAAAGCCATCTTTGCTCATGTTTATTTTGAGCCAATTTCAACCATACAAAAAGGGCAGTGGATAAGAAACACACACTCTCCTGTAGGTATATGCTCTGCTTATGTAGACCCTAAACACAAAGATCCTCTCACACATATCATCTCTCAAAGTATTCCAAGAAAAATATAAAGTATGCCTCTTTAGATAATTAGTATGAAAAAAGATAAAAACTTTTTCCAAGAGAGATAATATTAGTACAACTTTGTTTATTTCTTTACAATCTGAAATTTTCCTTGTCAGACTGCATTTCTATTAGACACATTTTTGCTCAGTTATTCTTATCTATTAATTCCTGAAAGTTACCAGCCAGGGTATCTATGTCAGGCAGTCTATAAAAGGGCACCCAGTGATCCCTGTCTTAGGGATTCATGTACTTATGTAATCCCTTCCCTCTCCATTTTGGGTTGTACTTAATGGCTCACTCCTAACAAATCAAAATGTAAATAGTGACGGAATATCACTTCTGAGATTAGGTTATAAAAGACCACAACCTTCTGTTTTGGATGCTCTCTCTATTGTTTACTCTGGGGGAAGCCAGCTGCCACATTATGTGAGGCAGCCTTTTGAAGACATTCATGAAGTGGGGAACTTAGATTTGCCAAGATCCACATACATGCACTTGGAAGTGGAGTCTTCTTCACCTCAGAGGAGCCTTCAGATGAGATCATAACCCCTAATTACAGCTTGATGGAACCTCATAAAACAACCTGAGCCAGAGGCTCTCTGTTAAGCTGTGCCCTAATTCCTGAGGCACAGAAACTGAGATAATGGATGTTTGTTGTTTTAAGCTGGGGTAAATAAGGGTCATAGTTTGTTACTCAGCAATAGATAACAAAGTACCTCATCAAACAAATTGTCAGGTTAACTAGACAAAAATGAAATTTTATGAATCAACCTGAAAAATATAACAAAACCTGTTTATTCTTCATTCTGAAACCTGACATATTTGTAAGTCATTTTTATGGAGGGGTGATCTCTTATCTTAGAAATATAGTTACCACACTCCAAACATTAAAAGAGAAAGAAATGCTGAGATGGAAAACAAATTGGCTTCACAGGCAATAAAAGGTCAGGATTAATTAACCCAGGGAGAAACACCTAGAATCCTTAAAAATAAAAACTATAGTTGTAAAACAAGTAGACTCAATTATTAGACACACAGAACCTAAAATAAAACCAAAAAAGTCAAATGACAGAGAATTGAGATTCTTTTGTGTAATTTTGTCCAATTAATAATATTCATTATGCATCATGTGAGAGATTAGAGCCCAGTTACAACGAAACAAAAAAAGACGAATTAAAACCTTAACAAATTTTATACCAAAATTTGCTTGTTGTAACGTCAACTGCATTTGCATTCATAAAAGAACTAAAAAAATGTGGTAAGGCACCCAAATAACACCTAAAAGCAACACTTGGGCTTAAATAAAGTAACCCTTGCTGTTTCTCGGTTTTATTTCGAAATGAGGTTGGGTCACCAACTGGGGTCCCAAGCTGACCTATACCCCAATGGCCTAGAAACAGAAGGAACGCCCATTCCCGCCTCATGGCACTGATTCTTCACTTTAATAAGCCACCACTGCTGTCACTCAAGATACATTACACTGTCATTGGTCGTAAACTCTTATAGATCGGCCAATTTCTGCCAACTGGCAAGCACTGGCTGTCTTTATTTCCGTGAAGAAAAGTGAGGGTAAACAGGCAAAAGAGATAAATAGATATAAAATATCTAGGCTGACGCTAGTACCTGAGCGACCTGTGATCTCCACCGCCGCCGCGACGAATCGACCTCTGGGCGGGGGCTTTAAGCCAAAAAGAAAATGGCTCAGCCAGGAACTGATGCCCAGGCCATGGAGAAGTGTGTCCAAACTTTACTAGTTCACGCCGGTGAAGATGACGGCGGCGAGAGTATCAGAAACAGCCCTACACCCGTGTGAACTCGGAACACCTCAAGCTGCAGGAGCCAGAGCTGCCTACTGTCCCAGTTTTGACGTTTCCTATTGTTGCCGGAAGTGACGTTCGGGTTCTGACCCTTAAAGAAGAAGCACTTTAATTCCCGTTGTTTACGATTCGCTACAGATTCCTTGTTTCTCGCTTCTTAGTCCGAGCTATTCTGACCTTTTAAATTATACTGATTAATAATCTGCAACTTAGTATCGCCCTGGCCGTTGAGGAGGCCTTCTGCAGAGTCAAGTCACCTCAGAGTCTGGACGAACGGACCATGGAATCTGCAGCGAGGAATCCTAGAGCGCCAAAGAGCCCGCCGCTTTGAAGATCTTGCCGCGGTGCGCGGCGGGCTCGAACTTGTTCTTCCAACACAAACGGTCGGCGCGAGAAGCGCGCTGGGGCTCCAGCTCTGGCCTTGAGGGAGTGCCTGCTGGAGACTAGTTCCGGTGATGGGCTCCGGTTACAGATGCCCTTTCTCCCCTTCTTGTCGTGCTGGGCTAGAGGTCTTCTTTGCTCGGGGGCTGCCGGGTGAGCCCCAGGGAGCCTGCGGGGCTGCGCACTAGTTTGGACAGAGTCGCCTCTCTCTGCTTTCCTCACCGAGACCCCGGGTGGAGGCGAAAGAGCAGGTCTGTCTCTTCACCCTTTTAACTTAAATTACGGAAGGGGAATCCCGAATGTGCCTTGCGTGTATACCCGCCTGGTGTATGCTTTTAATAGCGACGAGGTAGAAAATATCGTAGCTGCTTAATCAGATTTAAGCTGTGGCTTAGGATAGAGAAGTTACAGTCTTGGGATCAGTGTAAGGGATGGATTCCTAGTGGATACTCTGAGCTGAGGATGCATCGGGCTCCTCTAAAATACTGATGGGAAGGAAGAGTTGAAAGTAGTTGGCTTTTCCTTGCTTGCGTTTTCCAGGTGTTTAAAATATTTCTCCATCATAAGAATTACAGATTTTCCTCTCACTATAAAAAGAACTGTCTTGAATTTTAATTCATTTTTTTATATTCTGTAATTGGGGTGTCGTAGAATATTTTTCCAGAATTATTCGCAAACCTTTACACAGTTATTCCCTTTCCCCCCAGTTTCCTCAATGCTTTCCCTTCCTCAAACTTTTCTCCATATCACTTAGAACAGTGTTTCCTTAATATCTTTTGTGGAAATTTTCACAAATTTAATTTTTTCTCATCTTTATTCCTCTTGTTTTTGACGCATGGTTTTTAGATAATATAAATCGTTGGATCTATGCCACAAACTCTTTAACCATCCACACTAATGTATACAATTTAGTTGTTTGATTCTAACAAAAATCACTTTGAGTCCTGTGACATCCCATTGGGAGGCATCATTTTAATGATCTTAAACTGCTAGGTGATTGAGCTACATTAAAAATCTTAAATATTTTACTTAATAATATATTTTACTTAATAGTATATATTGTTTTATCCCTTTCTCATCAATTCTCTCGGACAGATTTGACTTGTAGACAGAACTCTAGGGGAAGCTAGCCAGCAATATTGAGACCTTAATGACTGAATCTGTGCTACAAGCTGAGTATTGCCTCCTTTGAATTTTCTTTGACAAGGGTAATCAGGTGAAAATGTTAATCACATTTTTTAAAGTAAAAAATTAATTTTCGTTTCCAAAAGTACTCTGTTAAAATATGCATAAGTAATAGATTAGCTTCTTTTAATATCTTAATTTTAGTGTTTTCTCCCCCCACCTTTTTTTAGCAAAGCCCTTCATGGAAATGTACAGCAGGAGCTGTAAATTTTTTCTGTAATACTCAAATTTTTTTAATTTCTTCATTTTTACTATTCTGTCTTATCACTTATCTCCTTCACCTACAGATCCAAGCTGTACTTGTATCTTACTCTTCTTCAAAATATGTATTCTACTGGTACTGAAGAGGATGTGTTCCAGGGACATACTTTGTTGTCAGAAATTCCATTACCAGAGGTAGAAATAATGTAAGAGACATGGAAACGTGTTTCAGGACTTCAGAAAAAGGAAAGATACCACAAAATTGCATGTACTGGGATGATTAGATATACATTTGGAGGGACTAAACAAAATCTGTGGGAGAGATACCTTTTACATTAAAGTTAGAGAATGTCTTTCAGTAAGAAAGTACCTGAGAAGAATTTTACGAAGTTAGATAGGTCTGGAACTTGAAAGAGTTTCAGACATATGAAATTGTTCAGTGGCAGAATCCAAGAATTTTTTTTTTTTTTTTTTTTTTTTGGCAGTTACAACCAGATTAGTTTCCAATTCATTTTTTTCTCAGCTAAATAAAGGCTGATCTTGGGAAAACTGTTTCCATATGTCCATCTACACCCATGCCTCCTATAAGATGTTAGCTAAAGCTTACCTTCTTGACCAGTATTTTGTATAATTTGATTTTGAGATTGGTTATTTCCCATTTGACTATGACCCAAATTCCCTTTGCCTACAAATGTAAATTTGTTTAGGTGGTATAATTGAGTGGCTGAAAATAGTGACTGAAGTGATCATGGAAGAATGGTAAACATTTATTCAAGAACCTATTCTTCACCATGTTGCTAAAGGAGAACAGGCTAAAAATAGGACAGTAGTTTTCCTCAAGAGAGGGAGTAGTTGCTCTACCCTGGAGAAATGGCTACAGAAATGGGTGGCAAGGGTCTTAACATAGAAAGCTTACTAAATTTAGGATTTTGCAAATTGGTAGCCTTAATACCTCTTTATGTATAGATTCAGACAAGGTGTGTAAGGGAATGATTTATATTCTGATTGCTACTGAAATACAGACTAGGGGGGAAAAGATCACACCAACTACTTCACCTAATTTATGAATTATTCTGTTTTGTTTTGTTTTTAATGTCAATGACTTCATTTTAAAGGAGCTTCATTCTCAGAAGATTCATTACTCAAGGTATTGTTATGTATTATTTTCCTTTTATGAAGTGTCAATGAATAGTTGTAGATATTTTTAAATATGTTTTTGAATTTTGCCTTATTGATTAAATTTTTGATTCAAAACCTGTTTATCTCCATCATGCAAAAGTTCTTAACAAATTGTCTATGTGTTTATTTTATGAACCTCCTTTGGAAACAACCTCCTTTGGGAATTTTGTAGTCCATTCAGTAAAATGAGTCATTTAGAAATAAGTTTCATGGTATTATTTTGGGAGAGGGGATTTTTTAAAAAATGATCTTTTATAAAAAAATCTCAAAGATCATGCATGTTTGTATGTTTGGGTGTTTCTGTTATGTACATTTTTCAGAGTCACTTCTCTTTCATAGATCCCTATGTACATCAGCTTTAGAAGATATCAACAATAAATTTTACAAAGTAATTGTACTGATTTACTTTTTTCACCGAATTGTGTTAAGAGTTTCACATGCACTACTGACTCATATTTTGGATTTACTTCATAATTTCCTAAGGATTAATGAGATTGAGTATCTTTTTACATGTTAGGTCTTATAGTTTTTGCTGTGATCTCTTGCCCATTTTTCTATTGAGCATCTTTTTTTTTCTCCCCTTATTGTTTTGTAGATTTTTTTTACATGTTCTACATAAGATTATTTTTGTTGGTTATATGTATTGCCAGCATCATCGTCCATTCAATGACCTTTCAGAGTATCTTTTGATGAACAGAAGTTACTAATTTTAATGTGGTTCATTTTATCAGTCATAAGACATCTTTCTCTTCCTGAGATCCTGAAGATATTCTCCTCTGTGATCTTCACAAAGCCTGGTTGTTTGGCCTTTGTATATTGTTCATTATAAGATTTTCTTTATTTCTTTCAAGTTTGGATTATATTAATTGTATTTTATTGAAGTTAGATCTTCAATAAACCCTTTGTGAAGGTTGTAATATAGATTTCAAGATTTATGTGGATATTTAGTTGATGTATTACCATTGGAAAAGACTATAGTTTTTTCACTGCTACTCACTATTGTCACTATTATCAATATATATGCTGGTTTTGGACTTGGTTTTGTGTCATTATTCTGTTTGTACATCTTTTCATGAATTCCAAATTTAATTTCATAAAACATTTTCATAATGAATGATTTAAGTCCTCCAATTTTGATCTTCAAGATTTCTTAGTTATCCTTTAGCTTTTACATTTCTGTATAAATTTTAGTCAGCTTGTCAATTTCCACCCTCAAAAACCTGTTTTTTGTGTGTGTGTGTTTGTTTAGTGGTAGTAGGAAAGCATTGTTTTAGTCAGATTTTTTGCTTTTGTGACTAAAGGATCTGACCAGAACAATTTTAGGAGGAAAAGTTTATTTGAGGGCTTAGGGTTTCAGAGGTCTTAGTCCATAGAAGGCTGGCTCCATTCCTTTGGGCTTCAGGTGAGGCTGAACATCATGGTAGAAGAGTGTGGCAAAGGGAGGCAACTCACATGGCAATCAGAAAGCAGAGAGAGCCTCCCCTTGTCAGGTAAAAACATATACCCCATAGCCAAGCCCCCAATGAATCACTTCTTCCAGCCACACCCCACCTGCCTCCAGTTACCACTCAGTTAATTCCTTCAGGGATTAATTCACTGATTAGGTTAAGGCTATGGCCCAATCATTTCTCTTCCAAAGCTTATATTGTCTTGCATGTGAGCTTTTGGGGAACACCACATCTGAAAATTAACAGGGATGCATTGAATTTATGTATCAATAATCTATTGAGTCAATCTTTGATCAAAATGTTGCCTCTTCTCTAGATCTTCTTCAATGCATGTCAATAAAGTTTTATAGTTTTGTTTTGAGATCCCTCCATCTTTTCCAGATTTATTCATGTTTGATATTTATTGAGGCTATAGAGAATTATTGATAGATGTCATTTAAAAACATTTTCTATTATTTGAGGGATACAGAGACATGCAATTGAGTTTTGTGTATTGGCCGAGTGAGTATTCAGCAAACTTGCTAAATTTACTTATTATTTCTTTTGGATTTTTTCACATACAGTTTATTCAGTGTGATGTCAAACAATAATGACATTTTTATTTCTTACTTTTTAATATTTTTTCCTTCTTATATTTTTGTACTATCTAGGAGTTCCAGTTTAATGTTGAAAAAAAGTGATGACAGTAAATATGCTTGCCTCTACCCAATCTTGGAAGAAAACTTGGTATTTCATCATTGAATACAATGTTTGTAGTAGATCTCCCCCCACCTCACTCCACCTCTTTTTTTTTTTTTTTTTTTGTACTGGAGATTGAACTCAGTGGTGCTCTACCACTAAGCTACATCCTCAGACCTTTTTTATTTTTTGATACAGGATCTCACCAAGTTGCTAAGGGTCTTGCTAAAATTCTGAGACTTGCCAACCTCCTGCCTCAGCCACCCAGGTCACTAGGATTACAAACATGAATCACAGCACCCAGCTGCAGTAGATTTTTTTTTTTTTTTTTTTTTTGGTAGATATCCTTAATCAAATGCAGGCAATTCCCCTCAATTACTAATGTTCTAAGAATTATAAATAAATGTCGGATATTTTCATATACCTATTGTTCATTATAAGATTTTCTTTATTTCTTTCATGTTTGGGTTATATTGATTGTATTTTGTCTTGTACTTGGGTTATAATTCAATAGTTACGAATTTTGGTGCTCCAGTTGTTTCAGTTTGTAACCATTAGGAACTCTTTGTTGGCTCCTATGTCCCTTTGACATAACCCTTCAAAATTTTCTTTGTAGAGTGTTTTTTTTTTTTTTTTTTTTAAAGAGTGAGTGAGAGAGAGAGAGGGGGAGAGAGAGAGAATTTTTAACATTTATTTTTTTAGTTTTCGGCGGACACAACATCTTTGTTTGTATGTGGTGCTGAGGATCGAACCCGGGCCACACGCATGCCAGGCGAGCGTGCTACCACTTGAGCCACATCCCCAGCCCTGTAGAGTGTTTTTGTATGTCCTGAAAACTACATAATGCTTCAGTTCATCTTCTATATTTCCTACCCCAGTCCTAGAATTGTACATTTCTTCAAGGAGCCCTGATTTCTTGTATTGTAGACATCAAGATCTAGATGCTAGTTTGCCAAAGGATTGCTATGCTTGTTGCTGAAGGATGTTACTTCAAGAAACTTTCACTTGACAGAGAAACAAAATATATGTGTATATATTGAGCACTACACAGGTTAAATATCTCTTATCCAAAATGAGGATCATAGTGTTTTAAATTTTGGAGTTTTTCAGATTTTGGAGTATTTGCATAGGGTATTGGTCAAGCATCTCTAATCAAAAAATCTGTGATTTGAAATGCTGAGAATCTGAAACTTTTTGCATATAGACATGATGATCTAAAAGCTTCAGGTTTGGGGAGTGTTTTGGATTTGGGGTTTTGGCTTAAGATTGTTCCAGGTGTGTGCACATATCAATAAATCTTTCTATTTGAAATGATTGGTATCAATATTACGGTAAACATGTTGATACTGATGTTTCTAACTATAATCAGTTAACACATAGAGCTAATTCTAGTGTACTCCACTTACCTGTAAAATTCCTCTTAAACCTGGTTCCCATTATGCAATCATCAATATACCTAATTTTAAACTTCAATATATCTCTTTAAGAGTATCAAAATTTTTATCTCATATGCATGTAGGCAAAAACTTTATGAACCAGAGTGCAGTGTTTATGTGTTGTTGTTTTTGCCTTTAATCTCACAGACTCTATTCACTTTCACCCATCCCCTTTAATGCAGTTGTTTCATACATTGGTAATGTAATTCGATTACCCTTTCACAGTCTACACTCGATCCTGTGCAGTTTCCTAAATTATTTTTAAAATTTTTGCATCCATTAGCATTCACTCTTTGGACTGCAGAGTTTCATGGATCTTGATGAAGACATAATGTCATTTATCTATCTATAAGATATCACAATGAGTAGATTATCTCTCTAAATTAATACTCTGTATTTCACCTATATATCTTACTCTTCTCCCTCTGAATCTCTGGCAACTATTGACCTTTGTGTTTTTTTATTGTCTCTATAGTTTTACTATTTACAGAATGTCTTCTCTTTGAAATTGTCTAGTAGCCTTTTTGGACTTGCTTTTGCTTAGAAATATTAATTAAGATCTATCTGTGTCCTTTTGTAGCTTGAAAAGTCATTTCTTTTTTTTTTTTTTTTTTTTTTTTTTAATTTTTTATTGTGGGTTGTTCAAAACATTACAAATTTCTTGACATATCATATTCCACACTTTGATTCAAGTGGGTTATGAACTCCCACCTTCACCCCATACACAGATTGCAGAATCACATCAGTTACACATCCATTGATTTACAAATTGCCATACTAGTGTCTGTTGTGCTTCGCTGCCTTTCACATCCTCCCCCCTCCCCCCTCCCCCCTCCCCACCTCTCCCCTCCCCTCCCCACCTCTCCCCTCCCCTCCCCTCCTCTATCTCTACCTCCTCCACTGTATAACCCTGAGGGTCTCCTTCCATTACCATGCAATTTCCCTTCTCTCTCCCTTTCCCTCCCACCTCTCATCCCTGTTAAATGTTAATCTTCTTCTCCTGCTCTTCGTCCCTACTCTGTTCTTAGTTACTCTCTTTATATCAAAGAAGACATTTGGCATTTGTTTTTTAGGGATTGGCTAGCTTCACTTAGCATAATCTGCTCTAATGCCATCCATTTCCCTGTAAATTCTATGATTTTGTCATTTTTTAATGCAGAGTAATATTCCATTGTGTATAAATGCCACATTTTTTTTATCCATTCGTCTATTGAAGGGCATCTAGGTTGGTTCCACAGTCTTGCTATTGTGAACTGTGCTGCTATGAACATCGATGTAGCAGTGTCCCTGTAGCATGCTCTTTTTAGGTCTTTAGGGAATAGACCAAGAAGGGGAATAGCTGGGTCAAATGGTGGCTCCATTCCCAGCTTTCCAAGAAATCTCCATACTGCTTTCCAAATTGGCTG